TAAACCGGACCGATGTTTACCTCTTTGACTCTGGTGTAAAATGGATGTATTTATGCTTTTTCCAGTCTAGTGTAAATAAGACGGCTTGTCCACTTACGCAATAATTTTTTATGATATTAGTACTATAAATCTTATATTCGGCATTAAGTAATTCAAGAGTTGATGTGTTTTAAAATTAACGAGATTAACCCAGTAATATAAGTCATTGCCTGTACGTTCAAGATGTGTTAAGTGTTCAGTATTTGTATTTTTATTTCATGCACATGCATTCGTTGTATTAAAAAATAACTTTTGTCGACAGCAGTGTTGCCTCAGCGTCCATCAATCTAAACTAACCAGTCTAAATTACGAACACTGGCGATTTTATCGATGTTTTCACGAAGACGCAATGTGTCGTACATAAAGCTTTCCATTAAAAGTGTGTTTATCAAACATGAAAAATACCTCAGTGTACAAGAACATATTCGATTTTCCATTGAAATCCATCAAGTTTCTAATCTGTAGATTTATTTGTCTTCCCTTCTAGTGAAGCCGTAAAAATATTCTTTTCAAATTATGGCAGTCGGTAATTTCTTTCGAATCTAAGGAAGCCTTTATACATTTCCTTATCTTTTGAACCCGAAGTAAAAAAAAGAAAAAAAGAAAAAGTGTTCTACATTTCTGATACCTTTACAGGCTTTTCATTCCACAACATTCAGAACGAATTGAGAGATTTACTTCTATGGTGGACGATAAGGGTCTAAACATAGGTCCCTGAAACGATTTTCGATGAATAAAAATAAATAAAGCAATAAACACTAATTAAGATTTATGTCTAAAATATCTCTCCATTACGCACCGATGATACATCGACAGTTGTAGCGATTTATTAAGCGTAGCTTAGATGTGGCACAAGGCCGAAAGTATGGAGCACCAAGTAAGGATCGAACTTACTATTCAGCTGTAAATGATATAGCGAAACAAACACACTATTTATTACACCACGTCGAAGTGACCTTGTTTTACTAAGACTAACTTGGATGTGTCACGAGGCCGAAAATATGGAGCGTACAGTGAGAATCGAACTCAGTTGTAACGGATCTAACGAGAAAAAAATCTTGCTAGCCATTACACTACAAGATACCCATATCGATCTTTATAAGCACATACCGTTATTTTTAATCATCTTAGCCCAAGCAAAGCAATAAAGTCACTAAGACGCAAGATGCTACGGCGCGTGAAACAATGTGAGGAAAAGAGAACATTATTAAGAGAGAAGAACAAAAGAAGAGAGATTAAGAAAACTCCTTCTGTAGAGTATAATTCGATAGTAAATTACTTAATAGTTCAATCACGATTGAAGCCCATCCTGGGTATGACGATAAACTACATCCACGTCCTGGGTAAGACGGTAAACTACATCCGCGTCCTGGGTAAGACTATAAACTACATCCGCGTCCTGAGTAAGACAATAAACTACATCCGCGTCCTGGGTAAGACTATAAACTACATCTGCATCGAATTGTTTTAAAAAGCTATTCACCCCATTTTAATCCTCTGTCGTAATGGTAAGACTGAGTCCACTTTTATGTGTTCGTTTCTTTTTTTTTGTGTGTTTAGGGAAGTAATGTATAGCGGTTCAGATTGAGGAATCGGAGAGCCGAGTTCGAATTCCAGTGCTAATACCATTGGGAAAAGTATGAATCCTTTTCTTCTCCTTGCACACAGCTATAGGTAAATGGCAGAAAAGGTCGGGTTCTCTAGCCTTGGATGGCAACTGATCTACCACAGAAAGAAATGGCAACCTACTGCGGGGAAAAATCTGCCTCGTCAGTCATGTATCGAAAGATACATGATCGCCTAACTGTGTATCACGCATGGCACATAACTGAACGCCGCGACTTTTAGTAGCTCTGTTGCATTGAATGGTGTAAATGATTAAAAATAATTAAAAAAAGAAACACAGAAAATGTAAAACATATAAAATTTGATTTATACATTATCGGCTTTCAGCCCTTTTCAGTGAATTTATGTGGCGAATGAGAATGAAAAAAAAAGGGCCGAAAAAATGGATTTAAAAATATTTACTCGTTTGTCATGGGTTTATTTCAATATCCTTGCTCTTTTGTTCGCATACATTTTTATAACTATACGAATAAAAAGATGTTTTCATATTTGTTTCTTTATAATGTGGTAAATAATAAATATTGCATTGTCGTTGGTACATACACTTTTCGTAATCATATAAATATAAAATATAAAAATGTTCTATAAAATAACCTAATAATAAATAGTATTTAATAAAATATTTCATTGTTGTTGGTTCATATATTTTCATGATCTTGTAAATATAAAATAAAAACAATATTCCTTAAAATAACCTAATAAATAAATAGTATTTAATAAAATATTTCTTTGTTGTTGGTTCATATATTTTTCATAATCATGTAAATATAAAATATAAAACTATTCTTGTAAATAACCGAGTAAATAAATAGATTTTAATAAATAGTATTTTGCTGTCAATTTTCTAAAAAAAAGAAAATGTAAAAAATCCACTCTCACATGTCACAGTTTTATTAAAATTATAAAAAAAATAGCTTTTTAAAACAATAAAGTTTACCAAAGGTTCATTACTACACCAATAGAAAAGGTTTTCTTTTGAAGCACCGTTTTTTGCGGGTAGGTTTGTTAAATATTACCGGAAGTTGAAAGTACAAGGTCAATAGACTGGACTAGTTAGCTTGTATTGCAAAGCTTTAGATATTTTTCATCAATAAAACTTCAAGTCAGCTTGATTTTGCTTTGAAAGTTTTCCTTTTAGTGTTGTAACTTATTGTCTATAAATATTCATAATGTTCGCTTTTTCTACCACCTCTTATATTCATATCCCGCCCCTAATTCATTAACCCTCTGCCTTGAGTTACTCTTGAGTCTGTAGGCTTACGGCCATAGAACAATAGTTGATTTCAGGTTCTGGAATCAACCTGGTAACGGATGCATATGTTTCATTTGTTTAGTCATAAACAAATCAAATAAAAACTTTTTCAATGTGATATGGCCGTTAATATAATTAAGATGATATATATATGGTAATTTGTTAAATTATAAGGTTAAATCAAATAAAAAATATTTTCAATGTGATATGGCCATTAAGATATATGGCCGAAAATAAAAAAAGAATTTTCAACGTGATATGACCGTTGAGATATATGGCCGAAAATAAAGAATATTTTCAACGTAATATGGCTATTAAGATATATGGCCGAAAATAAATAAATATTTTCAACGTGATATGGCCATTAAGATATAAGGCTGAAAATAAAAAAAAATTTTCAACGTGATATGGCTATTAAGATATATGGCCGAAAATAAAAAAAATATTTTCAACGTGATATGACCGTTGAGATATATGGCCGAAAATAAAAAAAATATTTTCAACGTGATATGACCGTTGAGATATATGGCCGAAAATAAAGAACATTTTCAACGTGATATGGCCATTAAGATATATAGCCGAAAATAAAGAATATTTTTAATGTGATATGGCCATTAAGATATATGGCCGAAAATAAAGAATATTTTTAACGTGATATGGCCATTAAGATATATGGCCGAAAATAAAGAATATTTTTAACGTGATATGGCCATTAAGATATATGGCCGAAAATAAAGAATATTTTCAACGTGATATGGCCATTAAGATATATGGCCGAAAATAAATAAACATTTTCAACGTGATATGGCCATTAAGATATATGGCCGAAAATAAATAAATATTTTTAACATGATATGGCCGTTAAGATATATAGCCGAAAAAATATTTTCAACGTGATGTGACCGTTAAGATATATAGCCGAAAATAAAGAATATTTTCAACGTGATATGGCCATTAAGATATATAGCCGAAAATAAAGAATATTTTTAACGTGATATGGCCATTAAGATATATGGCCGAAAATAAAAAAAAATATTTTTAACGTGATATGGCCGTTAGTATACGCCCATATCACGTTGAAACACCGGCTCTCGTACGATCACCGAAGTTATGCAACATCTGGTCAGAATGTTACTGCGGTGCGAAAGTGACTGAAGCCGAGAGGCCAAGTCAGGAGCGATAACATTACGGACCCTTCTTTGTATTTCGTCCAGAATATTGAGATATTAAGCAGGAGAAGCAGACCAGATTTGGCAGCAATATACAATGAAGAGTTATTAAAGTACAAAATGAATCCTGCCGATAAGAACAGTCTAGCATGATAGAGTGAACAACTTTCCTAGCAGTAGATCTAACAATTGATTCAATATACTATTGTCACTTCTTACATACAAATTGCACAAGAGGGACAAACATAAGAATTCAGACATGTACATCAAAATCAACGGGGCTAGAATTCATTATCTGTATCTTTATATGGATAACCATAGTTTAAGGGTAAGCAACGATCACCTAACAAGTGCCAAGTCCCTGTTCAAAGTTAATAAGAGTTGAGAGCACTCATATAAAAATGTTTGTCGTAAACGTAAGAAATAGCGGCTTATTTATAATTTACCAAATGGAGGCTGAATGTTCAATATCGATGATAAATACAGGTTGTCCATAAAGTTCGTGTTCACTTTGAAAAATTATTATAAAAAATGTTATAAAGTTTAATGTACCTAGTTTTAAGTATAGGTAAATTAACTAATGTGATTTCAGGCATTACTGTAAATCAGTTGGCAAATGTTTTCCGTGAACTGCAAAATCGTATTACCCTTTGTATTGCTAATGATGGAGGACATGTGGAAACTGAAATAAAATTTCAATAAAACCTTAAACAATATAGATTTACTTCTTTTTAATCCTTTTTACAAATTATTTCTATCGCAAATACAAATAAAGTTATAATTTTTTAAAGTGCACACAAACTTTATGGACACACTGTATAGAGCGTGGATATAGAAATCAACACTGAGAAGTGATTGTCATAATTCTATTAGTGCCTTAGGCGTAAAACTGCTAATGAACAGTGTTGATTTCTATGATAACACTGCTATCTATCTATCTATCTATCTATCTATCTATCTATCTATCTATCTATCTGCGAAAAAAACATATTTTAAATCAATTAATTTATAATATTAATGGTCTGTAAATTTACATTGAGCACTATTTTGTAAAAATAAAAATATCTATAAGAACACAGGATTATATATCTTACTGTTCTTTCTTTTTATTTATATATATATACACACAGACACAGACACACACAGACACAGACACAGACACACACACACACACACACACACACACACACACATATATATATATATATATAAATTTTTGCAATGCAAAGTATGTTAATAGATACAATTAATGTTTTTAAAGCCGTGCTCACTATCAGGGAAGGGTCACGACAAAGCCAAATACCGATTCTTATTGTCATCGTTGAAGAGAGAGTAGTGCCCAAGATCTTATGAAGACCGGAATCTTAAATGTTTTGAAGATTTCACAGCGATTTTAAGCATAGATCTATCTATCTATCTATCTATCTATCTATCTATCTATCTATCTAAAATAGTTAAAACCTTTGTAAATTTAAAGTTTTTACTTGATCAGTAAAAGCTTTAAATTTATAAAGGTTTTCCTACTTGTTTCTTATTTAATTTATATATTTATATATATATATATATATATATATATATATATAATGCCTTCAGCCTGCAATATATATATATATATATATATATATATATATATATAAGTGAACATTGAAGAGTAACACCCAGAGGCAACAGGATGTTTCATGTTGGACACAATCATCAGGCCTGAAGACTGCGTCCAGCATGAAACAGTCTGTCGCCTCTGAGAGGTTGACATCAATGTTCACTTTTATATTTATATTTACATACGCTCTATCACTGATATTGAGCACTTTATCTCATAAATATAGGACACCTTAAAACTATATTTCTTCATATATATATATATATATATATATATATATTCATCGCTGGATGAAGGCATTATATATATATGTATATATATATATAATGCCTTCATCCAACGATATATATATATATATATATATATATATATATATATATATATATATATATGAAAAATATATAAAAAATAGGAAAGAACTAAAAAATTTCGCTTGAAGGTGGAACAGAGCTTAGTATTTTAATTCTATTTAATTCAAATAATTATATTGAAGTTTTCGGCTCTTGTTTTGAAACATGAGAACTCTTATGTAGCGTGTTGGAATCATATTTTAAATAAATAATTATATATATATATATATATATATATATATATATATATATATATATATATGAAATGCCTTCATCTAGCGATATATATATATATATATATATATATATATATATATATATAGAGAGAGAGAGAGAGAGAGAGAGAGAGAGAGAGAGAGATGTTTCTCAGACCGACTAAAAAGTAATTCTCTCACAAATTACAGGACGAGCCGAAAATCAAGAATTCACTATGAAATTAAAGTTTCCCTCACGGAACAATTTCAGCATGTAACTTTCTATTGTCACAAGTTAAAAGCAAACTTTATCAATCTGAGCCCCCCACTCTTTATATCTCTAGGCGCTTCGACCATCTGTTTCCTTCTTCCTCTAATAACCATTTAATAAAGATATAATGACACCATTATTCAAAGATGATTGTGGCCAGTGAATTTGACACTCAACTCGCCATTGTTCACCTTAAATTTGCATCCCCGTTATTTGATCTACCGTAACTGGCACCCGATCGAGGGTAGAAATTGGAGAGCCAAACTGACCTTTCAGTAATTTACTTGGGCACTTTTCTTCATTTCCGTCTTTGCTAATAACATCTGTCATATTCAGAAGACAACTGAAAGGCTCGCGGTCAGCAGGACTGCAGTGCTGCTATTTCATGCCAATAGTTGACGATATTCGTCCAAAAGCCTTCAAGTGTTTCATTTCTGACATATTCAACCTCTCTGACTTCCTATGTTTCTGTCACTATTAGTCTTATGCTTTCTCTTCTCCAACATCTTTTGCCTTTTCATTAAGCCTTTCTTCTTCTCATACTCTTATGTTTTTTCCTATTATTCATATCTTTCTTTTCTATATTTTTATGGTTTAAGATTTTGTTTTCGTTATTTTTAAAAAAAATCTTTTCCGTTTTTTTTCCTAGAAAGTTTGCTTTTCCGCCTTTTTTTCTTCGTTTGGGTTGGATTTCATTTGGAATGGGCGGTTAATTCGTAATTTTTCCAAAGGTTCTTGTCTTTAGTACAGTTTTGAAATCTTTGTTTAAATTTGTAGTTTATTATTTCTTTATATATAACTAAAAACATTTTCAAAGGTTCAGTTATCTTTAAACATTTTCTGATTTTGTTTCTACCTTTCTTTCTTTCTTTCTTTCTTTCTTTCTTTCTTTCTTTCTTTCTTTCTTTCTTCGTTCCTTTCTCTCTTTCTTCCATCTAACTTTTTCCTTCCTTCTTTCCTTCCTTCCTTCCTTCCTTTCTTTCTTTCTTTCTTTCTTTCTTTCTTTCTTTCGTTTGTTCGTTCTTTCTTTCTTTCTTTTTCCGCTCGTGCCTTCCTTCCTTCCTTTTTATTTCTTCGTTCATACGCTCGTTAGTACCTTCCTTTCGCACGTTCGTTAGTCCCTTCTTTTAGTTCGTTTGTTCTTTCTTTCTTTCTTTCTTTCTTTCTTTCTTTCTTTCTTTCTTTCTTTCTTTCGTTTGTTCGTTCTTTTTTCTTTCTTTCTTTTTTCATTCCTTTTTTCTTTCTATCTTTTTTTTTCCTTCGTTCTTTCTTACTTTCGTTCTTTATCTCGTTCGTTCTTTCTTTCTCTCATTCTTTCTTTTAATGTCGTAGTATTTAAATTTTTTTATTTTGTATATCTGTTTTTTTTCCTTTTTTTTTTCCAAGTTTTCCCAGCTTGTTTCTTTCTATCTTTCTTTTAAATTATATTTTCTGTTTTTATTATTCCATTTCGAATTTGTCAGTATTCCTCCGTTTTTTTAATCATTTCTCCCCAAGAAAGGCGATAAGGCTACTAAAACACAACGGATTACTGACAATGAAAGAAAACTAGAAAGATTTAGGGAAAGGTCAACAATAGCAAAGGACTGAAGGTGACAGAAGAAGGACAATTGTGAGATTAACAAGTTGAATTGTGGAGGACGAATGGTAGATTTGCAAGGTGTAAGTTAGATTGTGGAGGACGAATGGTAGATTTACAAGTTGGATTGTGGAGGACGAATGGTAGATTTACATCGTGCAAGTTGAATTGTAGCAAGAAAAACTCTCTAGCCCAACGAAGTGAACCAACTTTTCTAGCAGAAGATGACTTAAAAACTGCATTTTCGTTTTGGAGCCGTTAATATTTACAAGCTCTTCTTTGCATAGTTAACAACAGCAATTTCGAGAGCAAATGTTATTTTTACTATATCAAACCTATCTGATGTATTATTAAAAAAGGGGTCAATAGTTATGTCATCAGTATAGATATCGATTTAGGGACTGATGGTATTTGAAAAATCGTTGATGAAGAATAAATATAGGAAAGATCGAAGGATAATGTCCCTTATCGATTTTAATTATTTTTTGTTTTCTATTTTCTTTTTCTTTTTCTTTCCTTCCTTCTTTCTTTCTTTGACTTACGGACACTTCATGTTGAAGTACCGCTTTCCATATGTTAACCAAAGTTAAGGAACGTCGATCCTACAATCAAATAAAAAAATATTATATTAGGATTTAAATAACTTTGAAGGGTTGATAAGCCGTAGAAAATGAATCACTCAACTTTCTTTCCAATTATTGATTTATCTATCTTTTATTTTAATTGTTTTCTATTTTTTTCTAAGCATTTTCATATTAATATCTTGTATTCTTCCTATTTTCTATCGATTTTAATACTTTTCTGTTTCTGAATTTCTCTAAAGATTTTTTTCTTTCTTTTTTCTTTCAAATTGTATTTTTCGTTTTTCTTTCTTTTATCTTAATTGTTTTCGAATTTTAAAAGCGTTTTTATTGATAGTGAATAATTTTTTCCTGTTTTTTCTCATCGATTATAACTCTTTAAAGTTTCCTAATTTTAAAAACGTTTCTTTTTTCAGAATTCCTGACTTTCTTTCTTTTACTCTTCCCCAGCTTTTCTTCCACGCTTTATATATTCACCCCCCTTAGTGTATTTCTTTCTTTCTTTCTTTCTTTCTTTCTTTCTTTCTTTCTTTCTTCTTCTTCCTCCTCCTGTACTTATCTCCACTTCTTCCTCCTCCTTCTACACATGTTTCCACTTCATCCTCCTCCTTCTCCACTTCTTTTTCCTCTTCCTACACCTGTCTCCTATTCTTCCTTTTCCTTCTACACGTCTCCACTTCCTCCTTCTACACTTGTGTCCACTTCTTCTTCCTCCTCCTACACCTATCTCCTATTCTTCCTCCTCCTTCTACACATGTCTCAATTCCTCCTCCTCCTACACTTGTCTCCACTTCCTCTCCTCCTCCCCACACTTGTCTCCTCTTCCTCCTCCTCTTCTCTCCTCCTCCTTCTACACTTGTCTCCTATTCTTCCTCCTCCTTCTACACATGTCTCCACTTCCTCCTCCTTCTACACATGTCTCCACTTCCTCCTCCTCCTCCACTTGTCTCCACTTCTTCTTCCTCCTCCTTCTACACTTGTCTCCACTTCTTCCTCCTCCTCCTACACCTGTCTCTTATTCTTCCTTCTCCTTCTACACTTGTCTCCACTTCTTCTTCTTCTTCTTCTTCTTCTTCACTTGTCTCCACTTCTTCATAACGTCTCCCCACTTTTGATTTTCAGCTGCACATCCTACTTCCATTTTTGTCTCTCTTTATTCGCCTAAATTGTCCTCTCACAACTGTCGAATTGATATTAATTGATTTACCAACGATTCACCTGGCAAGACTGCATTGTTCAAATCAGGTGACTCACACAGGTAATGGATAATCACGCCCAAAACCAATCATATCATTCTGGCTGTGGGTGCGGCCAGTGGAGTTCATTCTGCAGGCGAGGAGCAGATTTTGAATGGCGTCGGATGGTCAAGGTACAAACGAATAAACGTGCGCCATTTACTATTCGCTAGTTATTAGCGAGCTGGACAATGGTCAATCATTGTAACTTATCAAGAAGAGTCGAAAAGAGATTGAGTAGGACACAATGTAAGAGAGTAATCTAAATTAAGATGCCAGAATAAAAATAATCACGTAATTATTTAAAATCTCACTTGTAAAATAAGTACGACAAGGAGAAACTCGACAGATTGATGAATTCGGTGAACACGCAATTGAATGCCTTGGAGTCAGGTAATGGTTAACAACCTAGTTTGCTTTTATACGGAGGGTTCCTCAAAGAGTAACCCATGATGTTGACCTTGCTCTGAACAAAGCCAAGTTTAATAAATGCCAACAATAAGGCGGGAATCAATATGGAATTTGTATAAGATCAAGCAAAGTTTACTAATATGGAATGGGTTCTTCACTGGATGACCCATATCGATGACCATGTGCCAAACTAAACTAAGTTTAGTAAATAGTAACAATAACGCGGAGACAAATTTGGACATCTTGGAGCGGGTATGTTAGCAAGTTAGTGAAGTTTACGATTACTATTATGTAGTAGTGATTTTCTCACTGGCTGTCCAATACTAATGACCTTGTGCCAAACTATGCTAAGTTTAATAAACAAAAGGACTCTCGTTGTAGTTGTAATGTTTAGTGAGCTCGAGTGCTTTATAATTAATATAAGTTCAAAGTTTACTAGGTGCCCAATACTTGTAGTCTTATGTCAAACTTAACTAAATGTTTTTTTAAACTAATAGCGTCTCATCGTAGTGTAATGTTGAGTAAACTAGTTTGTTTTCCATTAAGTTCAGTTCTCACTGGGTTCTCGATCTTTTTAAAATCATTTCACCCGAAGCAAGGCAATAAAGTCACTAAGACGAGAAAAATGTTCTGTTATGGAGAAAGGACAATAAAAGAACAATGACTAAGAAGACAGTAGATAACGATTGACATTGCATTTAAGTTTTTGAAGATCAAAGTCGACTGGGGAGCAAGAAACTGGAAGAGAGTTCCACAAGTGAGAAGTGCGATAGAGGAAATAGAATAAAGCTTACGGTTACATCTACCTATTTCAACTGTAAAATGACAGGGCCTTGTCATCAACCTAGTGCTGCGCTTAAATTCATAAAGTCTTGTTATCATAGATAAAAGAAAACTTACCATGAAACAATAGAAAAAAGCACAGGAAGCTACATTATGGTGATAGGAAACTGACAGAAGCCGAGATACCAGGTTAAGGCCAATAACATTGCACATTCTTTGGATTTTATCAAGAACCTTTCAAATAACATTGCAGATTTTGCTATTTTTTCAAATATAAAGCAGGAGCACCAGACCATACGTAGCAGCAATATTCAAAGCAAAGACGAAGGGTAGACTTTTAAATATATTGACACTTTCAGTTCTTCGATGAGTACTTGCTATGCTTTTTATCTGTTCCCTCTGACTCTCGCCTTTTTAGGTTGGGGTTCAACTTTTACTTAAACAATATAGCGGCGTAAGCGAACTAACAGACTCTCTTCTTTTTCTTGTTAATAATAATGCTGTTTAGATTTCTTTCTGGCGTTGAGTATCTATCTAACGGCATACTACAAGATGGAGTGTTGAATGACTTGTTTCTGCTTCGTTCCAAATGACTCCCAAAAGCTAAGCAAAGTATTAAGAAACAGGTAAATAAAGAAAGAATACTGAACTGTCACTCCTATATGGCAGTGAAGGCTTGACAATCTCCTCTAGAAGAAGAAGAGACTTGAAGCACAAAAGAGCTTCTACAGAAGGATGCTGAGAATACCATGGCCCGAGCATGTGAGCAACGACGAAGTTTTAGAAAAATGGGAACAAAAAACAAAAAACGATGCACACGCTCTTCTGCACGGTCGTGCACTGTTGCTGTATTGTGTTAAAAACCTCCGATGAATTCCGAGAAATTCTAGAGAAATCGGATCACTGTTCTTTGTTCTTTCTTGGTGCACACTGTTAGCAGCGCGGACATGTTTACACTGTAACAGCATCAAGAAAGCTGGCACGATCAAACTCAAACATAGATCACGTGACCACAATAGCAGCAGCTATAAGCATGAACAAAACGCAGTGTGACAAACCTAGTGGTATGTTATAGCGAAAGTACAGATAACTTTTGATTTACCCTCGTACTTTGTTTAACTTTTGGAAGGCATTTTTTGTTATTCCAATTCGGATTTCGGTTGTTATAATACCTTCTTGGATTACATTTTTGGTCTCTATTGATTTTGACATCTCCAATTTGTACCTCGCATTTTGAACTGCACCTTTTGCTAATGACCATATATTGTCAACTTAAAAAAAAATGGTTAATCCTTTCGTCACGCTGTTCTTCGCTACATTGTTTAGGTGTTCCTGCAGTTTTCTTTCTGCATCTGCCATCAATACAATGTCATCTGCATATCTTATTTTGTTAAGATTGCACCGGTCGATAATAAATCCTGGTAGGACTTGTATTTGAAAAGCCACATCTTATGTCGTTTATAATGATAACAATAATAAAAGGACACGTCACAGGCTATTTAACCCGACGATACGTTGATCGGCACATTTATAATTGGAATTTGCTTTGCCATTTAGTGAGAAGACAGAATGCATGGTTATTGGTAAAAGAATGAGCCCGAAATGCGATTTATAGATCGGAGACACTAAAATCAAGCAGGCAATTTAAATATCGGGGGAAGGGTTTTGACAGAAGACGGTAAGTGTGACACTGAGATCTGAAGACGTATTGGGATGGCCAAGGACGCATTCCAAAAGCTGGTCAGAGTATTACGAAACAGGAAGATTTCGTTGGCAACAAAGAAAAGAGTACTGAGCTGCTACGTGACATCTGTCCTCCTATACGGCACGCGAATGTTGGACGGTCTCCTCAAAGACGAAGAAGAGACTTGAGGAAACGAAGGTATGGTTCTACAGAAAGATACTAAGGATATTATGAACCGAGCGTGTGAGAAACGATGAGGTCTTGGAGAGGATACAAAAAGGAGGAAGCTTGTACCTAACACCAGAAAGAGTCAGATGAAATTCCTGGGACATGTAATGAGAAAGGAAGGCTTGGAGAATCTAATACTCACAGGTCGAATAGAGTGAAAAAGAGACAAGGGAAAGCAACACATTATATACATAGCCGGCTTAAGCAAGTAGATGATAGAACATAGCCTAGGGGAAGTAGCAAAGAGACAAAACTTATTGAGAGCTACAAGAGATAGGGGAAGTGAAGAGCCATGATTGTCTACGTCCAGAAGGCACACGGCACATAAAAAGAAAGCAAAAAGAATTTACTGAGAAAAGACGCATATTATGGTCCTCTAAAAAATATTGAAGGATGGACAATTGTCCGAAGAACATGCGTATCAGGCAATCAATATTTGATTAAAATATGAGATTCGTGATAAGATTGCAGTTCTCAATATGCATTCTTATCATTGCTTCACTGAAGTCCTGAACA